GTCCCAATTTCCTTCCCATCACTATTGGTTCCCTGTGCATTTTCCTTCATTTCTTTTATAGTAACCTGCATTTGTTCATCTAATTTGTGACCAAAATCACTCAATTCTGTGAGCATCCTGATCACCAGTGTTTTGAACTGTACATCTGATAGGTTGGCTATCTCTCAGTCTCTTAAAAGGATGAGTTCTGGGGCTTTGATTTGTTCTGTTTGAGCCATTTCTCTCTCTCTCTCTCTCTCTCTTTGGTCTGTTCGCTCCTGTTATGGTGAGGGGTGGAGCTTTAGGTGTTCACCAGGGCTGGGCACCCCAGTCACTAGATTGTGACATTGTATGTGGGGGCGGGGTCAAGAGGGAACAATGGCAGTTGCTCTGTTCTCTGTGGGACCTCAGTCCCTTCTCTGGGATCCTGGGTTATGGCACTCTGCCCTACTCCACAGTCGCAACCTCACTGGGTCTGCCAGATGCCACTTGCGTACTCAGGGTCCACCCACTGCAATCTTGCGTGCCCCAGATGCCTTATGCACCCAACTCTCCCTGCTCTCCGCACCACGACCCACGCCTGGCTACTCGTCTCCGCCCCTCCTACAGGTCTGGATGAATGGGTCTATTTCAAGTTCTTGGCTGTCTGACTTCCATTCAGATAAATTTTCTGTCAGTTCTGGATGTTATTCTGCCTCTAAATTGTTGTTGTCCCAATCTTAGTTGTGAGTGGAGGTACAGTGCGTCCACCTATGCCTCCATCTTGGCCAGAAATCCCAATTTCTTTAATAGATAAAAAGTTTATTCAAATGATTTATTTCTTCTTGTGTGAGTTTTGGCAAGTTGTAGCTTTCAATGAATTAGTCTATTTCATTTTTAAATTTGAATTTAGTAAATTGCATATTAGGCTATCAAATTTGTGGGAATAGAGTTGTTTATAGTATTCCTTGATTATCTTTTTAATGTTTATCAGATTCATAGTGATGTCTCTTTTATTTATTTCTAAAAGAGAGAGTAATTTCTGTCCTCTCTCTTTTTCTCTTAGTTATCCTGGCTAGAGGCTTATCAATTTTGTTGATCTTTTAAAAGACCAGCTTTTGGGTTCATTGATTTCCTGTTTTCAATTTTATTGATTTATGTTCTAAACCTTATTACTTTTCTTCTTCTTACTTATATATATTCTTTTTTTGAAGATTTTATTCATTTTTTATTTTTAGAGAGGGAAGGGAGGGAGAAAGAGAGAGAGAGAGAAACATCATTGTGTGGTTGCTGGGGGTCATGGCCTGCAACCCAGGCATGTACCCTGACTGGGAATTGAACCTGCGACGCTTTGGTTCACAGCCTGAGCTCAATCCACTAAGCTATGCCGGCCAGGGCTATATATATATATATATATATATATATATATATATTTTTTTTTTAATATACTCTTCTTTTTTCTATTTCTCTAAGGTGGAAATTTAGATATTAATGTTAGATCTTTTTTCCTATTTAATACATGTATTCAGTGATATAAATTTCCCTCTAAGCACTCTTTACTGCACTGCACAAATTTTGATAAGTTGTGTTATTTTCATTTAGTTTAAAATATTTAAAAATTTTTCCTGAGATTTCTTTTTTGAACCATGTGCTATTTACAGATGTATTTAATCTCTATGTATTTTGGCATTCCAACCATCTTTCTATAATTCCATTGTGTTCTGAGAATAGACAGTATATGATTTATGTTCTTTTAAATTTGTTAAGGTGTGTTTTATGGCCTAGAATATGGTCTACCTTGAAAAGACTATGTATTCTGCTATTGATGGATGAAGTACTTTACAAATATCCATTATATCCAATTGATTGATGGTGTTGTTGAGTTCCACTACATCTTTAGTATGTCCTGCAGGGTCTGTTTATTTCTCATGGAGGGGCACTGGAGTCTCTGACGATGAGAGTAGCCTCATCTACTTCTCTTTGCAACTTTCTTAGTTTTTGCCTCATGCAGTTCAGTGCTCTGGTGTTAGGCACGTACCCATTAAGAATTATTATATGTTCTTGGAGAATTGACTCCTTTGTCATTATGTAATAGCCCTTCTCATCCCTGATAGCTTTTCTTGCTGTGAAGTCTGCTTTGCCTAAGACTAATATAACACCTCTTGCTTTCATTTTCTCATCCTCACCTGAGGACATGCTTTTTGATTTTAGAGTGAGGGGAAAGGAGGGAGATATAGAAAGAAGGAGAGAAACATTGACACAAGAAACATTGACCACCTCTCTCTCATATGTGCCCTGACCAGAACCGAACCCACAACCTAGAAATGTGCCCTGATGGGGAATCAAACCCATGATATTTTGGTTTATGGGCAACACTCCAACCAACTGATCTGCACTGGCCAGGGCTACTCTTGCTTTCTTTTGATTAGTGTTAGTATGATACATTATTCTCCACCCATTTACTTTTAATCTATATGTGTGTTTGTATGTAAAGTGGGTTTCTTGTAGATGACATATTGGTTAGCTTTTGTTTTTTAATCCATTCTAACAATCTCTATCTTTTTAATTTGTGGATTTAAATTATTCAAAGTGATTTTTTATATAGTTGTATTAATATCTACCATATTTGTTACTGTTTTCTATTTATTGCCCTTGTTTTTTGCTCTTATATTTGCTTCCACTTTTAGTCTGTCTTTCATGGTTTTAATACAACATTCTATGTGATTCCATTTTCTCTCCTTTGTTAGCATAGCAGGTATAGTGGGTATTTTTTTTTTTTTTACTTTTTTATAGTGGTTGCCCATGAGTTTGCAATATATTTACAGTTAATCCAAATCCACTTTCAAATAACACTATGCCACTTCCTGGGTAACACTGATATGGACTCCAGCTTGTGGGGTCCACCACATTGTGGATGAGACACGAGACATTCACATGGACTACCGAGTCCTGTGGAGGAAAAGGGACAGCATGGCTTTTCTCTCAGGGGGAGCAAAAGCCATGGCCCTCATTGTGACTGGCCTTTATTGTGTTTCTCAGCACATTACATGGTGGTCCTCATTTACTATGCAGAGGTTCACTTTAGGTGCTTACCTTTTACAGAAAACAAAGGAGCTGATGCCGCTAATCGCGTCACAAAAGAGGGATATTTGCAAATGAAAAGGCAAAAGTGGTTGAACTGGTTACACTCATCCTTGGAAGGTTTAGCATGGATTTTAGGATGTTACTTTGTGGTAAACGTTTGCTGCCTCAATTCAGGGTGAGGGAGTTTTAGCAAAAGCAAGTCTCAAAGTGGCCTAGGTACATTGCAGGCCTGATTCCCCATGGGAGAACCTATCTGTGGGCTTTGGTCCTGTTCATCTCCAAGTGGGAGATGGGCCCATGCCATGCAGAATGGTCTCTTACATCATGAGTACTTTATTGTCAAATTTGAAGAGCTCTTTATATAGTCTGCATACAAGTTCCTTATCTGATGTATGATTTGCAAACATTTTTTTCCATTCTGTGAATTTTTTCACTTTCTTGATGTTGCATTTGGAAGCACAAAAATTTTTAATTTTGGTAATACACAGTTTGTCACGGTTGTTGCTACTGCTGTTTGTGCTTTTAGTGTCATATCTAAGAGACCAATGCCTGATCCAAGTTCATGAAGATTTAGACCTGTGCTTTCTTCTAAGAGTCTTGTGGTTTTACTCTCATGGTTAGGTCTTTATTTTGAGTTAATTTTGTGTATGGTGTGAGGTAGGAGTCCAACGTTATTCTTTTGTATGTGGATATCCACTTTTCCTAGCACTGTTTGTTGAAAAGATTATTCTCTTTCCATCATTAATGATCTAGGCACCCTTGTCAAAAATCAACTGTCCAAAAATATGAGGGCCTATTTTTGGATTCTCAGTTCTATTCCATTGATCTTTATGTCTATGCCAGTCCTACACTGTCTTGATTATTGTAACTTTTTATGCAGTAAGTTTTGAAATTGGGACTTGTGAGTCCTCTAGCTTTGCTTTCTTTAAAGATTGTTTAAGGGAATTTTGATGGAATAGTGTTGACTGGAATCTGTAGATCATTTTGGAGATTATTTTCTTTTTTAAAAAATTAAAAAATCCTCACCAGAGGATATATTTATTTTTTATTTTATTTTTTAAACATCTTATTTATTTTTAGAGAGAGGAGGGGGGAGGAACAGAGTAGGAGAGGAAGAGAAATATTGATATGTGGGAGAAACATCAATCAGTTGCCTTTTGCATGTGCCCCAATCAGGGACTAGTCCAGCCACTCAGGCATGTGCTCTGACCACAATCAAACCCGTGACCTTTTGCTTTATAGTACAATGCTCAACAAACTGAGCCACACTGGCCAGGGCTTGGAGATTATTTTAATCTTAATGATAGTAAATCTGATAATCCATGACCATAGGATGGTTTCCCATTTATTTAGTTTTTTTAAAATTTTTTGTACAATGTTTTGCACTTTTCAGAATATAAGTTTTATATTTTTAAAAAAATTTATTCCTATTTTGATGCTTTTATACATAATTTTTTCCTTAATTTTGTCTGGATTGTCCATTGCAAATATATAGAAATACAATTGATTCTTTAAAATATTGATCTTGACATGTATAAAGGACACAGCAACAACACCAAGAGGAATGGGATTAAGGGTGGGAAGTGGGAATGGCTGGGGTGGTGAGGAGGGGTGGGGGGAACGTGGAGACAACTGTACTTGAACAACAATAAAACATTTGAAAAAAATAAAATATCTGAAATATTTCTTTTAAAAAAGTAAAAAGAAATCCATACTGATGAGTTCTTCGAGTTGTCAGACATTACACAGCTGAGCCTTTTAAGTGATTTATTTTCTGGGTATAATGCCAATATTTGCATTTTGACTAATTTTTATAGCTATTTTTCTGGACTGTTCTGACCCAGGATCCAGCATCTAGCATACTGGTATAAAAGGAATAAACTTGAACCTTGCAAAAAAATTTTGATCTTGTATTGTGCACCCTCCTGCTGGATTTGTTTGGTTTATCTTTTTTTCAGATCCCATTTCAAATTCTGAGTGGACACCGTCACATTGTGAGTTCTTGTCTCTTCTGTGTGGATGACACAAAGCTCCTCAGTGGCTCCTATGACTGCACGGTGAAGCTGTGGGTAGGTGGCCTCATGTTAGGTGGAACCAAAGCATCCTATAAGCTTATATCACCTCTTATGGAGAGTCCCCAGCACTGATTTCTAGGCTCTCAAGGATTACAAAGAATTGGAGAGGCCTTTCTGAGCAAAGTGCAAGAAGGAGAAGCAAAGTGAGGGCTCACATTAGTGTCAAGCCACTGGAGAGAGATGAAGTTAGTGTAGCTGCTGTTAGACTGTTGATATGGAAACAGTGGGAGCAGGGGGTGAAGGCCACTGGACTGAGAGCTCCTCACCTTTTCTCGGAGGATCCCAGTAGTGCCTAGGGCCCAGCTGGAGTGCCTGGGCCATGCCATTCCTTTGGGTCTCCTTCTCACTTGGAACCTTGAGTTCTATCCACAGACATGATATGACTAGGCCTGGCTGGTCACAGAAGATAGAAAAGTGGCCAGGCCTGGGACCTGTTGATGAGGGCAGGTTGGTAGAGGCAGGCCTGAGGTCAGTGTCCCAAAGTGCAGGAAGCAGGGTCACAGGGAACAAGGTTGCAGAGAGGTGGTCCCCAAGGACTTTTCTGAAGCCTTCTGGGCATAGCCGACAGACCCTGTTAGGCCTGTTGGGGACCGTTGCTGATCAGTCAGGAGCAGGGCTGGTGGATGACAATGTTCCTCAGGGGCTAGGCCACAGACGACCGTGTGGCTGCCACTGGCTCAAGACAATCAATTTTGAGTTTTGTTTTGTCCTCTGGCTTCAGGGGCAGGAGAGGGACAGGGTGGAATGAGTCAAGGCTGGTTCCTGGGTTCCCGTTCAGGTAACCAGGTGGAGGATAGCTTCTCACCCTCCAGCTGACCTTGGAGGAACATTCTCTGTGTCATTGGTGGGTGCCATGGCCAGGCAGACCAGGCAGGAGGGTTTGGGAACTGTCTAAGGGGTTCAAACCTCGCATTTGGGACCCACTAGCTGTGTGACCCTGGGTGATGCCCTGTCACCCTTTTGAACTGGAAAGGAGTCACAGGACCACGTGGTTCTCATACTTTGCCTTTGCAGACAAGCTCAGGGCAGATGTGGAGCTCAGTTCCCAACTTCAGTCAGCGCCTCAGTGACCTCTCGCTCTCTGTCCCTCTCCCCTGTTGATTTGAGGATGCTGTGGATGGATCTGTTGTTCGGGATTTTGAGCACGGGCCCAAAGCTCCTGTTTTAGAGTGCAGTGTCACGGCTGACAGCAGAAGGTGACCTTTCCTTCCCTTGCACTGGTCAGGAAAAGTGGGAGTGAAGAGGCAGGCCAGCGTACAGCACACCGGGGACAGTTGAGTAAAAATAATATGGGGATTTCACTGTCATGGAAATTTATCTTATGTAGGGGAAAAAGATTGCCATGGAAACATGCACTATAACAAGGCAAAGGTACGTTTGTTATTTTACGAAATCTACAATAAAACATTTCAGAGTGAAATGGGCTGCCTATTAAAGTATGTTTCTGTTAAGTGATTGATCTTTGTGAGATGTACATACCACTTTAGCAGAAGATGGTCAGCTATAGAACAGAAGAGATGATACCTTTAAGGCCTTGAACATGAAAGAGCAAATTTGGATGGCTGGGGGATTAAGGAAGAGAATGGTGCTGGAGTGATGGTTCTGCATTAGGTTCTCTCTGTTTTCAGCAAGAGTCCACTGCTCTTAGTGGGGTGGGGAGTCATGTGGCATCTTTACAGAAATTCCTCTATTATTTTCAATCTTGGTCCTAAATTATCAAAATGTTCTATGAGGAAACCATATGCATAACTGTCTCTGTCGTAAAGACCCTATGCTCATCATTTTATTTCCAGAATTGTCGCAGCCGCCTATGATAAGACAGTGAGGACTTGGGACCTTGAGACAGGCAAGCTGCTGGTAAGTTTGCCCTGCCCTGGTGGAGACATCGCAGCACAGGGTCTTGACTGGGCCTCAGGGAGCCTTGGGCTGGGTGTGGGGTGGGGAGAGAAGCCAGTCTTCCAGGAAAAAAGAATTTTCTCCAGGACCCAAGATGGTAGAGGGTATTTGGGAAGGAAAGCTTCCTGGAGCAGGCAAAAGGGGGCTCTGCATGAAGGATGAATACCCGGAAGGGTGTGGGTGGGGTGGGGTAAGGGGTCATGGCATTTCAGGCTGAGGGAAAGAATGCCATTTTATGGCATTTCATGGCACCTCCCCTGTGAGGTGTCTGGATTTGATGAGGCCACAGGAAAAGGCCACCTGGCCGGAGCATAAGGGTTTGGGGCCCTTCCCAATCTGCTCTCCATGTTGGAGGGATCACCACTCACCCTTCCAAACCACTCTGAGACCCCTCTGTCTGCTGCCCGGTGCCCAGGCAGCCCCTGCCCCCGGCAGGCGTCTCTTCAGGGTCTCCAGTCCCGACCCGTCCCCCCGCAGTTCCTCTTCACCTCACCTCTCCCCTCCTCCTCTTTTTTCTCCTTAAAAAAAGCAATCTTTCTCTTGGTGCAAAGATCAATTTATAGTCATTGTAAATTTTTTTTAGAAAGACAAGCCTATATTATAAATATAAAATCTTAAAACTCCCAGAGATTTTGCTGTCTCTTTTCCTTATACATGTTTACATACGAACACAGACAAGTATGTTCTGTTAACAACATAGTATCATTTAATCACACATCAGCATTATTTTTTTTAATGTGTGTAGATTCCAGGGAACAGACAGGTCTGCCGTATTTCAGTTTTCCTGCTATAGGACATTGAGGCTGTTTTCAGTTTATTGTAAACAATGATACAACGAGGAAAGTTTGCATATAATTTTTATACATGTGCACCAATGTTTTTTGGATATATAGCTGGATTTTATTGCTAATTTGGTATTTGATCTTTAAGCATTTCCCCAAATGTTAATTTCTTCTCTTATAAATTTCCTGTTCCTGTTGGCCAGCTTTTCTATTTGGGATGCTTTCTTTTCTTTAAAAGAAAATTTTTAGTACTTTGATTTATTTTGGTTGCACAAGCCATCCATGCCACTTGCCACTTATAGGGCCGAGTTCATGATGCACTGCTGCTAGATAAGTTACTTCAAAACCTTGCAGCTTCAAACAACATGCATTTATTTCTCACACAGTTTCTGACGGTCAGAAATCTAGCAGCAGCTTAGCCGGGTGGTTGTGAGGTCACAGTGAAGCTGTCACCCGGGGCTACAGTTATCTGAAGTCTCAACCGGGGCTGAGGACCCGCTCCCAGGAGGTGTCATGCTGGCTTTTGGCAGGAGGCCTGTTCCTCTCCACATGGGTCTGTCCATGGGGTGCTTGAGTGTCCTCAGGACATGGCAGTTGACTCCCACAGAGCAAGTGACCCAAGAGAGAGCAGCGAGGCAGCCATAGTTTCTTTGAGGACTGTCACTTCTACCACATTCTGCTTACTTGAAGCAAGTTGCCAAGTCCAACTCACACTCAAGAGGCAGGGAACTAGGTTCCACCTTTGGGAGGGAGGACTGTCAAATAATTGGTGGGTACATTGTAAAACTGTCACCATGGTGATACTAGAATTCGTAACAGACACACAGATCCTCCTTTCCTAGAATGTTGAGCAGCTCGTTGTCCCCTTACTGTGGTTCGGTGCCAGCCTTCCCCAGGGGACTGTGAACTGCTCGAGGGCCTGGGGCTGCAGTGTCTCATCTATGGTGCCAGGTGATACCACTTACCTACCAGAATGAACATGAATGAAGCTGGCCATCGGTAGAACCTTGCTGCCAGGTCCGTGGGGTGCCCCTCTAATTCTTGTTCATCTATCCTGGACACACATTAATTAATTACACTTGTTACCAGAATAGATTAATTAAAACAAATAAATGTAAAAAATTCCATTTCTTATTTGCAGTAGCCCACTACAAGCACTCAAAGGCCACGTGTGGCCAGAGGCTAGGATATTGGACCATTTTCACCAACACAGAAAGCTCTACTGAACAGCTGGGCTAGAGCGAAAACAACCTTTTGATTGTTGCCCTATTTCAGTGGAAGATCAATCTTGAAAGCATCATATCCTCCTGTAAGCTTTCTCCCGATGGTAAATATGTGGCCTCAGGCTTGGATGTGGATCATGGAATCTGTATAACAGACGCAAAGGATGCCACAACTGTGTCACTTGTCAGGGGTGAGTTTGCATGGCCAGGAGCTGTGAGGTATCTCGGCCCCTCTCATGGCCCCTGGCGTGCTGTGGGGCATTACCCATTCAAGGGTGAATCCCCATCAGACTGGGAGCACTGCTGGGACAGGGAGTGGGTCTACCGTGCTCCTTGTTCAAAGCCTGACACAGGTGGTACACACTCAGGAATATGTGAGTGAACAGATCCCAGAGAAAACTGGAACTGTGTTTCTGGAATATTGTCACTGTGTGGGGAGAAGTTTGAGCCTCTGGGCTGCGTGAAGCACATGACTTGGAATGAGGAATGTGCATAACAAGATCCTTTCCCTCTGCCTCAGATCATCACAAAAAACCAGTCACGGCTTGCTGCTTTGACCCTGATAGCCAGAAGGTGGCTTCCGTCTCGTTGGACAAGAGCATCAAGATCTGGGATGTTACATCCCAGGCCACAGTGCTCACCATCACCCAGTGAGGAGGGGCCCCAGGAGGCTGGGCAGTATCCTGTAGCAGAGAGGTGGGTGGGAGTCTCCATTCATGCTGGATATAGCTTGCACGCTTTCAGCCCGTGAGCCACCATCCATGTTGGGAATCTCCAACTTGGCTGCGGGTGCTACAAGGAGGTTTGAGAGGGAGAAGGGAAAGAAGAAGGGCAGAATAGGGAGACTGCCAGCTGTGTGCATCTGTTTCCATGTGAGCTAACACAATCTCAAAGGACTTTGGAGCTTGCAAGGAGTAAACATAAACCCTTTGTTATATTTATATATTTATATATTTATATATTTATAGACGTAAATCTAGAAAACTCAAGATGAGAAGGAAAGTCAACTGTACTTACCCATACTTTTACTTATTATGCTCTGTCCTCCTTTCTGGTGGTTCAAGTTTTCTTCTTTTACTGCTTTTTTTTCTCTGTTCAGGAAAACTTCCCTTAGCCACTCTTTTGGGTAGTTGTGAGGGCTATAAAGACTCTTAGTTTTCCTTCATCTGAAAATGTCTTGATTCCTCCCGCCATTCCTAAGGATAATTTTATTGGATATAGAAATCTGGGTTGACAGGTGTTTTCTCTCAGCACTTGAAAACTGTCACGTCACTTTCTCTGGCCTCCATGGTTTCTGATGAGAAATCCATTGGCATTCAAACTGTTTTTCCCTTACAGGTGGTGTTATTTCTCTCTTGATGCTTTCAAGATTTTTCTTTGTCTTCTGTTTTCAGAAGTTTAATTATGATGTGTCTGGGTATAGCTTTCTTTGAGTTTTCCTATTTGGAATTATAAAGGTTTTTGTCTTTTGCCAAATTTGGTAAAATTTCAGACATCATTTGTTTGATTACTTTTCACCCCACTCTTTCCTTTCCTTCTGGAGCTCCGATGAAATGCATGCTTGGATATTTTGTTATAATCCCGCAAGTTTCTGAGGCTCTCAGCGTTTTTTTCAGTTGACTTTTTGGATAGGTTCATTTATATTGTCTGACTTCATAGTCACTAATGCTTTCTTTTATCCTCCCCCTGAGTTTTTTTTATTTTGGTTACTGTAGCTTTCAGTTCTGAAATTTCCACCTGATCATTCTTTATATCTTCTACTTTCTTGTTTACTGAGGATTTCTATCTTTTTGTTTGTTTCAAGCATGATTATAATTGTTCATTAGAGCATTTTAGTGATGGCCACTTAAAAATCCTTGTTGGACAATTCTCAGATCTATGTTATCTCAGTGTAGGCATCTGTCGATTCTCTTCCTCATTTACACTGAGATTTTTCTGACTCTTAGTGTGATGACTGATTTTTAGTTGAATCCTGGACATTTTCGGTATTACATCGTGAGAGTCTGTCTTGCTTAAACCTTCCACTTCAGCAGGCCACCTCATTACAGCCTGGCAAGCATGGAGGTCTAAGCTCCCCTCTTGGCTTTTCTCTCAGGGGTGGGGATGGAACTGCAGTCTATTCCAATCTATTTGGCTGCACTAAGGTGGATATTGTCTAAAGGTGCTCTGTTTTGTTAGGCTCTCCCTTTGGCTGGGGAGAACGAGTTTACTTGGTGGTCTATTTTTTGTGTTCCCTATAATGGTGTTTTTTTAAAAAGGAAACTGCTTACAAGCTTCTAGTACCCAGTCCAGGATATATGAAGCACAAAGAAAACCCTACAGACCCACAGCATGCTATCCTTGGGTCCCGAGAGCCCTACCTAATCTGCCTTCTTTTCTCCAACTTTCATAGTCTTCCATTTGCTTATAAACACCCGGGTTGTTAGCTGTAATTAGCAGGAGGAATGGAGAGAAGTGCATTGACTCCGTCTTGTCCAGAAGTGCATGTGCAACACAAGCACTTCCCCCAACGTTTCTACTAAGAAAAATGGCCTTTATAGGAAGAAGTAGAATTTATTTGAAATGAGAACCCCTCCTGGAAAATAGACACGGCCCTGGTTTCTACACCAGTGACAGTGTGTGGATGCTGGAGTGGTTCTCAGGCATTCCAACAGGCACAGAGGTTTGGAAGGTTCTACCCTGGAAACCCCTGGGAAGTTGACTTTTTTGCCTTTGATTTTGCTCAGTTTGTGCATTTCAAAGAACTAAAATAGTGTCCAAAACTCTGATGTGAGCTCTAGAAAACAGTTTTGTCCAAACTTTTCCTCAGGTAAAATGGTTGATTTTATGAATCAGACTGCTCAGGAGATGCTTATTTATGTTTATAGGTTTGCTTGAAAACTCTGTTTATAACAGGAGATGAGAATCATGGGAAAAATACTTTGAAGATCACAAACAAACAAAAAAAGCAGTAAAATGGTGACAGATTTTTTTTCTTTTCCAAAACATATTACAATGTACCAAAGAGCCCCCTACGACAAAGAGTTACTCAGTACAAAATGTCAGTATCGCCATGATTGAGAAATCCTGGAATAGTGTGGCGCAGTCAGAGCAACTACTGACTGGACCATGGTGGGCAGTGACTGAAGGAGCTCCAGTGCCCTCTCCCTTCATGCCCCCCCTCCGCCCCCGCCATAGGTGTGTCTTTGGGTTTCCCAGGAGCACAGAGCTAGCATATGCACCCTCCCACCTCTGTTTCAGGGCACACAGCAATGCAATCTCAAACTGCTGCTTTACCTTCAGTGGCCATTTCCTGTGTACAAGCTCTTGGGATAAAACCTTAAAAATATGGAATGTCCATACAGGGGAGTTTCGAAACCGTGGAGCCTGTGTGACTCTGATGCAGGGCCACGAAGGTTGTGTGAGTTCCTGCCGCTTTGCCAGAGACAGTGAGTAATGAACACATAAAAAGATTCTGCACCCATAGAAGCGCTGGGGCAGAGCTCCTCATGTTTCATTCACATGGACTTTTCTTAGAACAGAGAGATGATTTTCAGTATTGCTGGCCATGAGGGTGGACTTACCTTCTACAAGAACAAAAAAGCCAGGAGGAAGATTCATAGGCACAAGTTTGTAAGTGATGGAAACTCAACTCAATGTGGTTTAAGCAACAAAAGAACAAAAGAAATTCATTAACTCCTGTGATGGGAAAGCCCAGGAGAAGGTCTCGCTTTAGGTTTGGTTGGGTCCAGACACTCAGACAATGCTCTTGGGGGGCCAACTCTTCTACTCTGCCCCTCAGATCAGCTTCTTTCTTGTACTGGTATTTCTCTCCAAGTAGGCAAAATAGCTTCAGGTGGTTCAGGACAACCGCGGTTCTGGCTGCTGACAATCCTGGGGAAAGAAGCTCCTTCTGACAGTGCCCGTACAAGTCCCATGGAAGACTCCCATTGACTCCACTTGGGTCACATGCCCATCTCTGAACCAATTGCTTTAGCAGGTTTAGCAAGTACACTGATTGGCCAGGTGTGACTGACTTGCCCACCCCAGAGTTACAGGTTAGGGTCAGTACACTCTGAACCAGAGGGGCTGATACTGGGTGAGAGAAACTGGTAGGCTAATTCCAGATGAAGGGGCATGGATATGAGCAGAGTCAATGACAGCAAGCTGCCATGGTAGCAACCCAGTGGGGAAAGTGGCCGTTCCCGATACCCAGGAGCCAAAACTTACACTCCTCCATCCTCATGGAGTGTGTGTGTGGGGCACCCAGCCAACACACACACACAATCAGGGTCTGACTTGAGAAATGCAAGGGTTTTTCTAAATAACTTTCCCTTTTCAGAAGCAGCCTCTGTGTAAGTCAGCCCCCACTATGAGGCACCCCACCAGTTTCTGTCCTTGGCTTTATTGGGTTCAGAATTGCACACAGTTGTTGCTCTTTGTGGATTCCATATTTGTAAATTTGCCTACTAGCTAAAATTTATTTGCAACTCTAAAGTCAATACTCATGGCACTTTTGTGGCCACTCGTGGATGTGTGAAATGCGGCAAAAATTTGAGTTAGTCCATGCACACGTTTCCAGCTCAAGTTGAGCAAGGTGACTCACTACTTTCTTGTTTCATCTCTTATCATAAAGTGTACTTTCTGTGGCCTATTTAGTGCCACATTTTGCAGTCTGAGCTTTTAGCTGGTGACTTTGCTGTTTAAGATGGAGCTCTAGCATAATGTCGAAGCACTGTGCAGCATTCGTAAGTGCAAGAAGGGTGTGATGTGCTTTACGGGGGAAACACACATTAAAGAAGCTTTTTTCAAGCATGAGTTATAGTGTTAATGGCCATGAATTCAATTTTTAATGAATGAACAATTTACACCAGGTGAGGTGTCTTTAAACGGGAACAGATATAAAACAAAGTTATGTATGGATTGGTTAAGAAAATGTGACCAGAGGCTCACAGGAACCTAACCCCGTATTTTCCTAAGGAGCAGTGGTTCAGTATTTGCTAATTCTGTATTTGTGATGACTTGACAGAATATAACTACCATTAATAATGAGAATCGACTGTACTGGAGGTGGGTGAGCCACCAAGAAGGAATTAGAGTGTCCTCAGAGTGAGCGCGAGGCATCTCACTAATGCAGCCTCAGTCTGCTTTGACCTCACCACGGGAGGAAGCAGTTGGCTGGGGAAGATGAACCTTGGGACTTTCATTTTGTATTGCAGCATCTTTTCTCGCGTCTGGAGGTTTTGACAAGACCGTGGCTATTTGGGATGTAGGAGAAGGCTACCGGAAGCTCTCCTTGAAGGTACCAATGCCAGCATCAGATAATTCATTGGAGCTTCATTCCTTAGTCATTCCATGCCAGGTGCTGGGTGCTGGGTGCTGGGGAGACAGCAGACTTATATGTCACCCATGGAGCTGACACCTCTGTGGGGAAGGACAAACAAGTCCCCAATAGTGATGAGTGATGAGAAACCACAACAGGAACTTCGGGGACTAATCCACAGTCGGTGGGAAGGGAGGACCTCATGGAGAAGGTGGCCTCTGAGCTGAGAAAACGATGATAAGGAAGGACTGGATGAGTGAGCATCTTGGAGGGGGGGGGGCATTCCAGGCAGATGGAACAACAAATGCAAAAACTCAGAGACGGGAAAGTGTCTAGGAACCGCAGAAATTACTGTGCAGGAGGCCAAATGCCGTAATGGGACATGCAGAGAAAGCTGTGGGGCTCCAAAATGGAAGGTGTCAATTCAGCACTTCTGGTTGTAAGTTAGAGAAGACTTCACTCAAAGCAGTGCTCTAATAAGGGGATGGATTTGCAAACACGGCCAGCATCCAGCGGTCAGGCAGTCCCAGGACTGGCTCCTTCAGTGTCTCTGTCCCGGGTGCCCCCGCCTCAGGATTTCTGCAGACTCCCTGATCCTGTGATTGCCAGGCCACCTTTGGCTGGGAATGCCTGCATCCATGAGTCTTTGTCTCTCTGTTCCCTGTGACCCAAATGTAGATGATTCCCCTTGCTCACCACAGCACTCAGGCTCTGAGGGCTGGTCTGTCTGAGCTCTCTTCTCTGAGAGTTTGGAGAGGCAAACATAGCAAATAAACAGTTTAAAACTGAATATTTAACCTCTCTGTGCTTTACATTAAGTCCCTTTGTCCTTCTATTAGTTTGTTTTACTCACTTTTCTTCTCCTCTCTCCCCTCTCTCTATTCTTCCACCCTCAAATTTCTGTCCTTTTGTTCAAAGTTTAACCTTCTCTCTGGTTCTCTGTCCTCCTACCAAACCATGTTGCCTCACTGTCCACCCCTTCCCATGAGGGAAAGCCCAAAGAACTATAAGGATTCTGTATTAAGTGTCTGACCCAGCAATGTTATCTATCACCCTTGAGCTCCTTTGTATCTGAGGAGAACAATCCCCCATTTGCTAAAGGAGCAGTGGGTAGGTTTGTAGTCATGTGAAGCCAAGAGCCCCCTCCCCAAATGGACCTCTGAGTAGTATTTCCTAGAACAAAGGAAGCAAGCAAAAACCTGCAAGAGGTGCTCTGGTACCAGCTGGGAATGCAATAATTCTTTCCCCATACTACAGTTTAAAACCACACACAGTGCCAGACATACATGTGTATCACAAGCCTTTACATTGTCTATTCCACCTAAATGTCCTCGGTGAAATGAGAGGCACAGTTAGTTACTCTTAAATGTAACCAACATTGGGTCCTTCATGTTTCTGTTGTTTTTGTTTTCATCTTTCTTACAAAAGCTTTTCCTCTAGGTCCTTGTTAAAATTCTCTTTTGCTTCAGGGCCATGAGGACTGGGTGATGGATGTTGCCATTAGCAACAACAAGAAATGGGTCCTGTCTGCTTCAAAGGTAAAAGTGGCCAACCTTGGAGTAACGTAAAATCTCTGTTGCCTTTGTGAGAATTCGTGATAACAGGAGTGCTATTGTCAAGTAAAATTCTTGGGCAGACTCAGTGTGAGGGCCACACCTGGCCAGGCCATCCCCATCCAGGGAGCTGCCTGTACGTGGAAGGCAGGTGTCTCCGTCTGCTCATGTGAGGAGTTGCCAGGTATTTCTGTGTCTGAACCATGGACATTTGAGTTTTGCTGGAGCAAGGGCCTAGCCAGACTGGTGAGTGATAAAGCCAACCAGGGGCCTTGGAGGGGAAAGCATTAGCTTGTAGACAAGCATCAGAGACCATCCTGAGGTCACAGATGGGTCTTCCCTCTCTACCTCACTACATCCGGGGATTCCCATTCCAACGGCACATAACGGCTAGCCCAGGATATCCCAAGGGCTGTCCTCCAGGTGTGAGTTACAGAGAAGTGGGGAGTCACCTGGCCCCCCACCTTTATTAGAGCCATGTCATTCTGTAGCCTGGGAGTTTCTCAATCTATGAGACTGTGGGCAAGACTCTGCCTTCCATGACCAACTTGTTAGGGAGCCAACCCAGGATACCACCACACCTGACAGAAAAACTGTAGTAAATAATACAGAATAAAAATAATATGCCTATATGTTCTTATTTTAATATAAAAGTGTAGAAAATGATTATGTTAATTATGTCTCAGTAAAGCTGGAAAAGAACAAAGTAAAAATACAAAACAAAATATGAAAATTGAGAGTTTGTTTAAAGTTATATTTTATTCTTTTTCTTTTACTTTTTTGTTATATAAATGCTGTTATTTAAACAAAACAACAATAGGACTATTTAACAGCAGCAATTAGTGGTAATTTAATAGTAGGACTAATTAAACAAATATATTTAAGAAAAATATAAAAATATTTTATAATGTTTCTTTTTATTCTCTGATACAATTTATTTAGACTTTAAAATAATCTTTACTGTATATTTAAAATTTTTAGGCTATATCATTGTATCTTCTTAAGATACATAAATGTAGGACTTTATTAAAAAGAGAATATAAATATAATAGGACTGGTTAATTAGATATCACTTGCATTTATTTATATATTATTCCAGCTTTATTGAGACATAGTTGACATCTAACATCATATAAGTTTAAGGTATACAACCTGTTGATTTGATGCACTATTGTATTGCCAACTGATTACCACCGCAGTATTCGCTCACACCTCCATCATGTCATAGAATTCCCACTTCTTTTTTGTGGTGAGAAAATTTATAATCTATATTCTTATGAAGTTTCAATCACATAATACAACATTATTAACTAAGGTCAACACGCTGTACATTAGATCACTCAAAATTACTCATTTTGTAACAGGAGGTCGGCACCCTTTGACCAGCATCTCCCCATTTCTCCCGTCCCCCACTCTTGGTAAACCCTGCTATTTGTTTCCATGAATTTGGTGTTTAAAGATTTCAGTCTAAGTGAGATGACCCAGTGTTTGTCTTTCTCAGTCTGACTTATTTCACTTACCATTATGCCCTCAAGTTCTGTTTATGTTGCTGCAAATGGCAGCATTTCCTTCTTTCTCTTGGTTAAATAATATTCCATTGTGTATACACATCACATCTTCTTTATCCATTCACCCTCTGACAAACACTGAAGTTGTTTCCACATCCCACTACTGTGAATCTTGAATAATGCAGTGAATGTGGGAGTGCAGATATCACTTTGGGGTCTTGTTTTCATTGCCTTTGGATATATACCAAGAAGAGAGATTGCTGGGTCATATGGTAATTCCATTTTAAATTTTTCAAGGAATCTCCACAGTGTTTTCCATAGTGGCTGTATCAGTTTACATTTCTACCAATAGTACACAAAAGTTCCCTTTTCTTCGCATCCTCACCAACACTTTCCTCTTGTCATTTTGGTGATAGCCTTTCTAACAGGTGTGAGGTAATGATATCTCATTGGGGTTTTTATTTGCATTTCTCTGATTATTAGTAATACTGAGCATCTTTTTTATGTACCTGTTGGCCATTTGTACCTCTTCTTTGGAGAAATGTCTATTCAGTTCCACCACCCATTTTTCAATTGTAATTTTTTTCTTACTGAGTTGTATGAGTTCTTTATATATTTTGGATATTAACCCCTTATCAGATATATGATTTGCAAATATTTTCTCCCATTCCATAGGCCTCCTTATCATTTTGTTTCTTTTACTATGCAGAAGATTTTTAGTTTGATATAGTCCCACTTACTCATTTTCACTTTTGTTTCTTGTGCTTTTGGTGCTATATCTGAAAAATCATTGCCAAGACCAATGTCCATGAGTTTTCCCCTATGTTTTCTTCTAGGAGTTTTACAATATTGGGTCTTAGGTTTTTTAAGTTAATTTTTGTGAGTGGTGTGAGATAGGGGTCCCATTTTACTTTTCTGTGTGAGGTTATCCAGTTTTCCCAACACCATTTAAAGAATGAAGAAACTAACCTTTCCCCATTAAATATTCTTGGCTCACTTCTCAAATATTAGTTGACTGGATATGTGATTGTTTATTTCTGGGTTCTCTATTTTTATGCTTGTACCTCACTATTTTGATTACTATAGCTTTGTAGTATAGTTTGAAATCAGAAAGTATGGTGTCTCCAGCTTTGTTCTTCTTTTTCAGGATTGTTTTGCCTATTCGGCATCTTTTGTGGTTCCACAAAATTGTAGAGTTGTTTTTTCTAATTTTATAAAAAATGTTGAAATTTTGATAGAGATTTCATTAAATACATAGATGTCTCTGTCAATTCTTTTGATCTAGGAACACAGAATATCTTTTCATTTCTTTGTGCTTTCTTGAAGTTCTTTTATCAAAACCTTACAGTTTTCAGTATATAGATTTTGCACTTTCTGGTTAAAATTATTCCTAAGTACTTTATTATTTTGATGCAATCATGAATGGGATTGTTTTCTTTTTCCTTTTTTCATTATTCATATATAAAAACACAAGTGACTAAAAAAACAAAGTGTGTTCATTGGGATGGATAGCACTCATTTTGAATCAGGGTGCTTTTAGTGATGCTTCCTGCTCAGGGAGCATCCTCTGTAACCCTTGCTTTTCCTCCTGGAGGCTGACAGAGGACAGTGGACAGAGAACAAGACTACCATTTGTGCGTGGCTAAAGACGGTGGTGATCTTATAGCATTTCACACCTGTGAAGTAGGAATTGCAGTTCTGCACCAGGCACTTCTAGTGTTTCCTCTTCCCTTCTGGAGAGGGATAAAAGAGATCCTTATCGAGAGGCATGTTGTTGTGGGAGCTTGGCACTGCTGGAAAGTCTACAATTGATTTCTGTATGTTGATTTTGTATCCTGCAACTTTACTGACTTTGTTGATTACTTCTAACAGTTTTTCAGGGTGTCTTTTTTATTTCCTAAATATAACATTATGTCATCTGTAAACAAAGACAACTTGATTTCTTTCCTTCCACTTTGATTGCCTTTTATTTCTTTTTCTTGTCTGATTGCTCTGATGAGAACTTTCAGTATGATGTTAAATAGGAGGGCTTGCTTAGGATAAAAATAACCTTTAATTTTTATTATTTTTATTATTTTATTTTTAATGCATTTTATTGATTATGCTAGTACAGTTGTCCCATTCTCCCTCCTTTATTCCCTTCCACCCTGCACACCCCATCCCATCTGCATTCCTCTCTTTTAGTTCATGTCCGTGGGTCATACACATAAGTTCTTTGGCTTCTATATTTCCTATACTATTCTTAACCTCCCCCGTCTATCTTCTACCTACCATTTATGCTACTTATTATCTGTATCTTTTCCTTCTCTCTTTTCCTCCCACTCCCCCACTGATAACCCTCCACATGATCTCCATTTCTGGGATTCTATTCCTGTTCTAGCTGTTTGCTTAGTTTGTTTTTGTTGTTGTTTTTAGGTTCGGTTGTTAATAGCTGTGAGTTTGTTGTCATTTTACTGTTCATATCTTTTATCTTCTTTTTCTTAGATAAGTTTCTTTAACATTTTATATAATAAGGGCTTGATGAACTACTTTAACTTGACCTTATCTGCAAAGCACTTTATCTGTCTTTCCATTCTAAATGCTAGCTTTGCTGGATAGAGTAATATTGGATGTAGGTCCTTGCCTTTCATGACTTGGAATACTTCTTTCCAGCCCCTTCTTGCCTGTAAGATTTCTTTTGAGAAATCAGCTGATAGTCTAGAGAAGTGGGAACTCCTCTGTAGGTAACTCTCTTTTTCTCTTGCCGCTTTTAAGGTTCTCTCCTTTTCTTTAATCTTGGCTAATGTAATTACGATGTACCTTGGTGTGTTCCTTCTTGGGTCCAACTTCTTTGGGACTCTGTGAGCTTCCTGGACTTCCTAGAATCTATTTCTTTTGCCAGATTGGAGAAGTTCTCTTTCATTATTTGTTCAAATAAGTTTTCAGTTTCTTGGTCTTCCTCTTCCCCTTCTGGCACCCCTATGTTTCAGATGTTGTACTGTAAAGATTTCCTGGAGGTCCCTAAACCTCTCCTCAATTTTTGAATTCTTGCTTCTTCATTCTGTTCTGGTTGAATGTTTCCTTCTTCCTTCTGCTCCAAACCATTTATCTGAGTCCTGCTTTCCTTCCCTTTACTGTTGGTTCCCTGTAGATTTTTCTTTATTTCACATAATGCAACCTTCATTGCTGTCTGGGTCTTTTTTATGCTGTTGAAGTATCCACTGAGTTCCTGGAGCGTCTTGATAACCAGTATTTTGAAATGTGTATCTGATAGGTTGGCTACTTCTTCATGGCTTAGTTGTGTTTTTGTTTTTTTTTTTCTGGAGCTTTGATCTGTTCTTATATTTGGGCCTTTTTTTTTTCTCTGTGCACCTGTTCTGTAGTAAGGGGCAGAGCCTTAGGTGTTCACCAGTGCAGGGCAACCCACCTGGCTGCCTTATTATGCTCTATGTAGGGGAGGAGCCGGAGAGGGAACAATGGTACCTGCTCTGCTCTCTG